GCGCGACCAGATCCGAGCGACTCCGCAAGGGGGCCGTCTCCTCCGACTCATCTTCAACGGGGAGCATGGCAGCCTTCAGGTCCTCGACTTCTTTAGCTAGACGCTCGTTGTCGGCCTCCAAGCGTTCCCGGTCCAGTCGAAAACAGTCCCTCTCCTCGGAAACCTTCCCCGAGTTCTCCTTCTCCACGGCCAGCAACTCGGCTTGCTCGCGGAACATCTCCTCAAATCGCTCCAGAGCAGCCTTCAACTTTCGAGAGCCGGCAGCAAGGGCAGCTTTCTCCAACTCCAGTTCCCTGACGTGGTCAGAGGAGTCCGACCCCTCCTTAGCGAGGACAACGGCCATCTCGGCCATCTTAACCATCCCGACCATACTGGAGGCCAGATGTTTTTTCCGACTTTCTTTATTTAGCCGCCTGATGGTCTCAGCCTCCTCGGCACTTACTGTCAAGGGAAACCCCTCGAAGAAGCCTTCCTATTTAAAGCAGGGGGGTAAACCAAAGGCCATCACCGCGCCAGACTCGTCGCCGACTTTCGATTGTCTCTCTACCCGGTTTCTCTTCCTCGGTATCAGATCAGTGGGCTGCTCGATGTCTGGGGAGTCCGGGGACCCGCTAGAAGCGTCACCCGAGCTGGTCGGCGGGCCCATCCTCGTTTCCTGTGGAGCTCGCACCAACCTTTTGTTGACTTTCTTATCCTGTGTCAATTTTAAAAGCCTCTCCTTTCGTCCGGCCATATTGCCTGCAAAAAATAAAACCCGGGTTAGTTACGAGCAAGTAACAAACGAAGAAACTAGAACAAAACTATGAAACAAAAAGCAACCTAGTAGGTTTGCGGCCTGCCCGTAGGACTGGAACTCGACAAGCGCCTTGGTATCTATAGGACGGGCCTTGAAGGTCGGGTAACCTTCCTCGTCAAGAATGTCTTTTCCCTCCCTCGTGGCCCACCGGACACGGAAGAAACTGTCGACATATTTGCAAAGGATACCGTAGGCTTCCTCGTCCTCGGTACTCATCCCTCCCGCGGGCGTATGGTAGTGCCCGGTACCATGCTCATAATGGCGCGAGCACCAATGCAATGGGAACTTAGATACGCGCCCCAACATCGGGCGACCCTCGTCGTCCATAAGAGGCTCCCCGTTCTCGTCGGCCACTGCGGTCTCTTCTTCATATACAGAATCTAAAGCAGTCTCGGTGATCGGCCGCACGACATACCATTTGTCCTTGAAACCCCGGACCGAATCCATGTACATCCTGAACAACCTCTTCGACCGTTTCAGGGAAACCCAACTATGCCTACCTCCTCGGGACTGGCGTTACAAGTGAAAAACTCTGAAGAAGAGAGGAATGGTCGCCCCGATCCTTAAAAAGTGACATGTTAGCTCGAACGCCCGGAGAAAGGCGATCGAATTAGGGTGGAGTTGTGAGGGGGCCAAGTCCAGATGGCAGAATACCCCGACCTGGAAATCACTGAAGGGGAGCTTGAGGCCGAGGTCCTTGAACGCGATTTCATACATGGGAAAACCATACTCAGAGAACTCCGAACAGATCCGTGCGTCGAGAGATGGCCTTGTGACAATAAAGTTCTTTTAGAAGCCCGGTTGACTACCGTCGTGCTCTACGATAGTGTAGGCGCTCCGACTATGCCGACTATATGCCGAGGCAATTCCTCGGGGCTCGGCGCCAACCCAATCCAACGAAGGATCATCAACGGTGTCAACTAGGGTACATTCTCCTCGGGACTCTGGTCCTTGACCTCATTACGCCCGGAAGACTCCGGTTCGTCAGACATTTACCTGCAAGGCACAAGAAACCGGTGAAATTCGAGAGCAAATCCATATGCTCGCCATAACTGACGGGAAGTAGTGCACGACAAATCAAAACACACTCCGCGCGCGTTAAAACGTTGAGGACTTGAACAAGATCCTGGTTTCGCCTCCCCGACGCTAAGGTACCACGACGAGTTGTCCTACATACTTCCTAGCGAGCCAACATCCCGGCCAGCCATGGGTACGTCGACCTAAACTATGAATATGACGAGCAATATCATGAATCCTAAACCTAGAACTATGGGTTTACCGGGCAGTATCATAGGTTATGCGCCCAAAACCATGAAGATCCCGGGCAGCATCGCGAGTCACATACCTAAAGCTATGCGTTTACCGGGCACAAACATGAATATACCAGGCATAAACACGAATGTACCGGGCGCTAATCCCAGATGCGGGTTTCTAACATCCAAATAATGGAAAAATTACCTACAACATAGAAAAATATAAGGGATAAACGCTTACTTGGAAGTTAGGAAGGATGTACGGCGGCGGTGAAGAGAACCCACGGAGGTAGGTACGGTAATCTTACGAAGTTCTGAAAAAACAGCGGCGACAAAGGCAGAGGAAGAAGGAGAAGCGCGAAGAAGAAAAACAAATTATGGGACCCAAGGATCCTATTTATAGGGATGACGTGGAATACGAAACGTCGCCCCGGGGAACCACGAGCTTCCCCTCCTCGACGTCTACTCCCCTAGGCAATGATGGCTCTACTTTCACTAGGGTGGCGTCACGGTTCCCAAGGGTTGCCTCGTGTACCCAATGAACACAACCCGCAAAGAATCCCCCGAGCATGCCTCGAAAAGGATTACCCCACGAACGCAACTCATGAGAAACTCCTCGAGCAATCACGGGGAAGCAAATATCCTGGGCCGGGCATCAGATCCCGTGGCAAATGCGAGCTGAGGTCAAGTCATAACTCCTGCTCCAGGAACCACGACTTGGGGGGCTCCTATTCTGGACTGGGTCCGCCCTGGCCCAAGAGCAAGAACGAAGGCCCAATCCAAGCAACTCTTCAAGGAGCGCGCACTCGAGGATTCCCGCCAGCGCGCCGACCAGAAATTCCAACCGTGCCCGCCATTTCCCGCGAACATGTTGTCCTCGACCACGTGAACTCCAGCTCGAGCCCAGCCCGAGCACCCTCCTCGTAGGGCAGATTCTGACCGTTACCAAATCACCTGAACTCCGGAAAGACCGCGTCCTCGTCCCTCCTAATTTCTCACAGATCATCACCAGGAAGGAGACCACGTGCGAGTCCCCACTACACACGTAGAACCTGGCAGTTCCTTTATTGGGTCAGTCCTGATCGGCCCAATGAAGGGACATTGGCCCCGCGCTGGGGGCTATAAATACCCTATGTTCCTAGAGGGTCAGGTATTCATTCTCTTACCCATACATACACTTTTTGCCTGCTCGTACCATCACTCACTTTAGCATCGGAGTGCCTTGCAGGTACCCCCCCTATCTCACTCAACTTCTGCTCGGAGTCATTCGTGACGGTCCAAGTCTGATCAGGTCGGATTAAATTTTATTTTGAAAATCATTAAAAACATATAAATATAAAAAAAAATAGATTTATATTTGGAATAATGATTTTAAATGTAATAATTATATATGACTTTTACTTATAATTAAAACAATTAAATTTTTTTAATTATTTATATTTGAAATGAGTGTTTTATTATTAATTAGTATCGAAACAAGTATTGTCAAAATCAATCATAAGAAATAGTAACATGGCAATATTTAAAATAAACGACAAAAACATTAATTTTTCTTTTTTGAATCAAAAAAGAAATTTTTTATAGATAGATTCAAAAATAATACAGTTCAAGCGATCAGTAAAAACAAACAAAACAACAACATGCACCTTACACCTAAAGTATTAAAAGCTTTTCTATATGTTGCTTAAATTTAGGATGAGTGCAACATTTATAAACAATACAATTCACTATCTCATTGTTTATATTACGATTTCTATTTCATGCATTCACAGTAAAATAGATAGAATTTTTGAAGTTTCAAGCTTCATATATAGTTTTTAACAAACTGGTTCTCTAGCCTTTCCTCTTACATTATTCAAGCATCCAATTAAGCTTATCAACCCAGTCCTTGGGACTATGAACAATCTGTAATCATTTGAGAACCTCAATTCAAATATTCCTTATAACATCACACTCAAAGAAAAGGTGTTGAAGTGATTCAGTTTTTCTGCAAAAACAACACACCATACTGCTTAGCATGCCAAATTTAACCAACCTCTCTTTGGTAGCATACTTTTGTGACAAGTCCTCCAAATACAATGCACTGCACGAGGCCTAGCATAGTTACCAATGAATAGATTCCTCCAATCAACCTTTTGATCACTATTGCAGAGTTCCATGTACAACTCTCTAGCTTTAAAAATATTACCATGAATCAATTTCTCCCATGTCTAAGATTGAGAGGTGAAGTCTCTGTACTTCAAAATTGTCCGCAAAATCCAAAAGCAATTTTGTTTGACATTTACTTTCATTATAGTGGACTCCTTCACATAGTAGCTGTGTACTCACCGAATACAGAGATTATCTATCTTGTCTCATAAGTTCCAAAGCAACCTGCACATGCTAATCTGATTTCACAACTTGAGATCGATGATATTAAGGCCTCACGACTTTTAAGCTTGCAAACTTTATTCGAGACAATAGGAGATTTCCTCGAGATAAACTCCTTCCCGCGTTAATAAATTATTCATGACAAATGTAAATCCGCGTTAATAAATTATTTATAAAAATATTTTTTTAAAATATGTGTATTCAATTTCTTAAAATTTTAAATATAATTATCACATTTAAATTTTTTAAATTATAATATACTTACTATGAACCGTTATTCATTAGTTTTTTAAGGTCTATAGGAGATTACATTACTAATGAATGTCTTTTTGGATGAAAACATGAGTTTTCTTCATACTTGTGACAGCACGAATTCCTGGTTTAGATAAGAAAAAGAAATGCAAAATATTATTTTATATCCAAAAAGTGTTGAAAAGTTTATACGGTTGATGACCATTGAAGGGTATTTTCGTAAATTGAATGATTTCAAGGTTTAGGTCTAATTTACGAGTATAAATTAAAATTTTCAAAGCATTTCACGTAATGGTCCTCACCCATTCCAGTGCAGTTTGTGACGAACAATGGACGGAAACGAAGAAGATTTTAGCTCTCAGGTTTTCATTCTCCATAATCTCATTATTTCTCATGTTTTGAATTCGATTGCGAATTATATATACCGCAAAAACGGTCGCGGCAAAACGGTATTGACAGATGTCTGATACAAATATAGTTATTTACTCTTTTTTATGATAAAGAATAAATTGTAGTTAAATCACACCGATGACATCAATTAGTATCTCAACACACGTAACAATTGAAATTGCGAAAGCTTTTACTGCAACGGTTTTTTAAAACCTTGAGGATACTACCTAATTATGAAGGTTACACTTGTTTCTTTTTTTAATTCAATTTTTTAAAATTGATTTGTAATTTGAATAGGTTGTTGAAGTTTACGAGCATAAGAAGGAGTGTATTAATTCTTGCACAAGAGATGGATCGGTTGATTTTTATGGAAAACCAGCTTTAAAAGCTACAACTGGTGGATGGAAGAGTGCATCATTGTTGCTAGGTAGGTAATTCACACACATCCTTTATGTTTATTAATGTTTTGAAGTGAAATCAATGGTATAACTTTGTAGCATTGACATCTCTAAAAAAGGTGTAGCAGTATCAGAGCTTCGGTTTGTGATTACAATTAATTTATTCATTAATTTGTAAATTATTTCTGGTGGTGTCGACGTGTAAGTGTTGGTGTCTGGTTTTCATAGTGTATAAATCCCTTCATGTTTAACTATGGGTCTATCTGGATTGATTTATATGGTAATTTATAACAAATTTGTGCAGAGTTTATGAAAACAACCTATACCATATTATTTTTCTGCTTAATTGCATGATAAAACAACTTACGAAAACAACTTATATGAAAACAAATTGACTTTTCTTTATCTTTTGTTATAGAAATAGATTATATACATAAGCATTTATATCATAAGTGCGTATTTATAAGTGAATTTAAATTGTTAAGTGTTTATCCAATAGACACTTATGTATAATTTATTTTATATTTTTTTTTACTGATTATATATTGATTTATGAAATTGTGACAGTGAATCAAGGATTGATTGCATTGGCTTTTTCTGGAATTGAAGCAAATTTGGTTCTCTTCTCAAAGTTAGTATTGAAACAGACTAATGTTGAGGCAGCAAGCACTTTTAGCATATGGATGGGAACCACTTATTTCTTCTCTTTAATTGGAGCTTTTCTTAGTGACTCATACTTGGGAAGATACCTCACTTGCATCATATTCCAGCTTGTTTTCATCATAGTAAGTAATCAATTTTTCAATTGCCTATATGTTTTGAACATCCACCTCTCTAACAAAAGAAATTGAATATATTCTAAACGAGAGACAGGGGAGTATGTGAGATATTCATGCCTAAATTACAAAAGTTGTCCATCATAAACACATTTTGAAACAGATTCTAAATTAACACTATTCTTTGTTATAACTCTTTACAAGTTTAGTAGGATCAATAACTTAATTAGGCAGACTATGCACTATGAATAATTTCTTCTTGTTGTTGCAAGCTTGATATATAACAATATATATCCTGAAGATCTATTTTCCTTTACTTTTCTGCAGGGCTTAGTGATACTATCCTTATCAACTCACTTCTTTTTCCTGAAACCTCATGGTTGTGAACAAAAAGGAGTGCCATGTGAATCAGATACTCAAAATCAGTTTCCATTATTTTACATGTCAATATACCTAATAGCTCTAGGAAGTGGAGTTTCTGACCCTGCATTACCAACACTTGGTGCTGATCAATTTGATGAAGAAGAACCTGCTGAACAAAGATCAAAGACCTTAATTTATGGCTACTTTTATGTGGCATTGAATTTGGGATCATTGATTGCCGAGACTGTGTTGGCTTACATAGCGATTACAGGACATTGGGTGATGGGATTTTGGATATGTACTGGTTGTGCTGGTGTTTCCTTTGTTGTTTTGCTGAGTGGAACTCTTAGATATAGACACTATAAGAGTTTTGAAAACCCCTTCTGTAAGTTTACACAAGTAATTGTGTCCTTTTTGAGGAAAGTGAAATCTCAAATACACTCAATTGGAGAAGGCTTCTATGGTATTCAAAGGGATGATACTTGTGGTAGAAGAATACATCACACAAATGGCCTCAGGTAACTCTTAACATTTTGAAGTACTTTTTATTATCATTGTGCATAGGAAAGCTCAAAAAGTATAAAATTGCTCAGTTATAAGATGGTTTGAATACAATAAAGAATTACTTCTAAGATTGATGTAACTACATTTTATTCAACAAAAAACTCATATCATCCACCAAAAAATTAATGAACTGCATTTTACTTGTCATGCATGATTATTCTGTTTTTAGAATTTGAGTTTAGCTTGGCTCAAACCTAAAAATCAGCTTGTTAGGTGTGAAATTTCTCCCACTTATAAAGCTCATTTTTATATCATATCTTATTCAATCTGAGACTCTTAACACACTCATCACACGAATGAAATGACATAAGAAGTGTGATGTGAACATGAGTTGGACCTAACTCAATCCTAGAAAACCAACTTTTAAGGTGAGTGGTCTTTTTCTGGCCAATATCTCATCCCAATAAATATTACGAATGTGTTTGCAATGGCATTTGCAACAACATTATTGTGTCCTAATGTTCATTTAACATGAAAAATATAGAAGCTGAGAATTGATGCTTCAGACCAAACGTGTGCGTTTTTGCTTTCTGATGCTAAAACAAACACATACGATAAACAAAATTGATGCACCAATTGTTTATTTGTTATTGTGAGAAACCTATTATTTATTAAGTTAATATGATAAGTAAAAGTGAAAAATAGAATCCATTGCATTCTCGGTAGCAATACATTGTTGATGTAAGTTTTTTTTCTCCCTTTTGTTTTGATAACAAGCAGGTTTTTGGATAGAGCTGCTATGATTTCTGATGATGCAACTGAGATGTTGCTAGGTAAAGGCCAAAAATCATACACATGGAATTTTTCCAGTGTATCACAAAATGAAGGGGTGAAATATATGTTAAGAGTGTTACCAATATGGTTTTGCACAATATTCTCTTCTAGCGTTTTCATACAAATGCGATCTCTATTTGTCGAACAAGGTTCAACAATGGACAGAACTTTTTTCAACTTTCAAATCCCTCCCGCTAGCATGACAACGTTTGATATTATTAACACATCAACTTTTATCATACTATTTGACGTTCTTATCATTCCATTATACAAAAAACTGATGAAAAACCCTCCAAAACTTCCTAGTGAGTTACAAAATATCGGTATTGGATTCGCCATAGCAACATTAACATTGATTGTGGCTGGTTTTGTAGAGAAGGAAAGATTAAATTTTGCTAGCGAAAATGGCGAAGAGACAAGTTCTTTGAGTATTTTTTGGTTGGTACCACAATATATGTTTTTAGGAGTAGCAGAAGCTTTTGTGTATGTAGCACAAATGAACTTTTTTACATCACAATCACCTGATGGATTGGAAAGCTTGGGAATGGGGTTGTATATGTTTTCATCTGCACTTGGTTGTTATGTTGGTAACTTTATTTTGACTGTGGTAAATAAAATTACATCAAGTGGTCAAGGACAACATGGCTGGGTTTCACCTAATCTAAATGATGGTCATTTAGATTTATATTTTTTTTTGTCATCACTTTTTATTTTCATTGACTTGATATTGTATATTATATGTGCTAAGAGATATAAGGGCATATAATTGGAGCAAAGAAGAAGAAGGTATGGTTTTTGAATTTTTAGAATGGTTTTTAGAATGGAGGCAAACTTTTTGGTAGATTATTGATTGAATAAAAGTGAAGTTTGATGTATTGATTGCTAGAAATTTAATATTATATGCCACTGTGCTGTATTATTCCAGTCAAATTAATCCTATGAATAAATTAATTTATGGACTTGTGCAAGAGTGAACGTTGGTGAAATTGTATATTTTAGTTTGATTTTTATTTATCATTAAACCTTTCAACCTAGGAAATTAAGTTAGACATACTTTTTTGGTAATTAATAATATTTTTCAATTCAAAAAATTATTTGTTAATATTAATTAATTAATTGAATTCAGTTGCATTAATTTCATATGAAAAATCAAGAAGGGACATCTTGATGAATAAATTAATTGATATTTGATTACATTTTAGTAAATTAGTTAATTAAATATTACGTACTTAAAGAATAATTTTTCTATGGTTATGTCTCTCTCCAATTCCATTTTGAAATTGGGATAAATTTCTTATTTTGTAAAAGGGAGTCTCCTTCATGTTTAAATTCGGACTATATTAAATAAATGTTAAAAGTGCATTCTTGAATGAGTATGTTAATGAGGAAGTTTATGTGGAGCAAATAAAGGGATTCATTGACCCTAGCTTTCCAAATCAATGCGTACAAATTGATGAAATTTCTCTATGGATTAAAACAAACTTCTAAAGCTTAGTATGAAAGATTAACTGAGCTTTTGATCAATAGAGAAAACCTCATAATAGCCCATATTTAAGTTGATGACATTGTCTTTGGGGGAATGACAGACATGATGGTGGAACATTTTGTTCATCAAATGCAATATGAATTTGAGATGACTCTTGTAGGAGAACTCACATATTTTCCAAGTCATAAGAGAACTCCTGCTACAACAAATGTGAAATTAACTAGAGAAGATAATGGTGTTGATGCTAATCAAAGTCTATACAAAAGCATGATTGGTAGTCTGATATATCTCAAAGCAAGAAGACTTGATATCACATTTTTTATAGGTGTTTGTGCTAGATATCAAGATAAACCCAAGACTAGTCATCTCACTCAAGTGAAGAGAATCATGAAGTACATAAATGGGACTTGTGACTATAATATTCCCTATATTAATGAAATTAACTCTATTCTAGTAGGCAATTGTGATGCTGATTGGGATGAGAGTGCTAATGATAGAAAAAGCACAACCAGATGATGCTTCTTTCTTAGCAATAACTTAATCGTATGGTTCAGTAAGAAGCAAAATTGTGTCTCTCTATCCAGTGTAGAAGTTGAGTATATTGTTGCAGGGAGAAGTTGCACTCAATTACTTTGGATGAAACAGTCGTTGAAGGAGTACAATTTTGAACAAGATGTCATGACATTATACTATGACAATTTAAGTGCTATTAATATTTCTAAGAATCTTGTACAACACATTCGAACTAAGAACATTGACATTGTCATCATTTCATCAGGGATGTAGAAGATAAAATTGTAAACCTTTGGCATATTATAAGTGAAAATCAACTAGATGACATATTCACTAAAGTTTTAGATGCAACTCAGTTTGAAAATATAAGGGGTGCTCTTGGTATTTGCATGTGTAAAAAATTATAGCAGTTAATGTTGGGGAGGCATGCATGAATATAAATAAAGTTTCTCTCTTATGATCATTACAACACGTAAAATAAGGGAAATCATTCCTAATTCAAATTTTTCTCATAACTACTCCATCCTCACATGCAAAAACAACCTTTTACGCTCTCTCTCTCTATTACTCTACCACAAATGTTCACTTCATCTCTCTCAAGTTTCTCAAACTAGTTCAAAAATGGGTTAAAAAGCTAATGAAGCTAAAACTGCTAGTCCCAAACCAATTACTAATACATATGGGGTCAAGATGTTAGGAGTCAAAATGGGGGAAAAGCAACAAAGGAGAAATCCAGGGCTTCTGGGTCAAGCAACAACATAATTGTTCCTGTTGATATTTATGAAAAAAGGATAAAGAATGTTGACTTTGAGAAAAAGAAATCAAATGTATGTCCCTCTGATAAAGGAACTTATGTGCATGACATTTTGATAAGCCTATTGATTTTATGAATAATGTCAATAAGGAAAATAAAGTTGATACCTTACCTACTGAGAATGTAGTATTGAACCTGTTGAAACCACCATCAATCCACATGTTGAAACATAAAGTAAAGCATATGTTGAAACCGATATCAAACTCACTTTCGAACTAATTTGTGAACCACCTGTTGAACCTCCATTTGAATCCACTAATGAAACACATGATGAAGCAAACCCTAGTGACAAACCTGTAATGGTTGATGGTCATCCTACTGATATAACTATATTTGAAAAATATTTGAATGATATCTTGGATGAAGATGATGATTCTACTGAAGATTTGAGGGGGGAGAGGACCCATTAAATATAGAATCTTGATTTCAAGTTGAAAAGAATGAAGAAGATGAAAAGGGTGATGACATTCCTATTGCTAACATAATAAAGAGAATCATGGAGAACATAACCAAGTATCAATACAAGGAATCTTAAGAAAAGGCTAAAGAAGTAGTGGATGTGGATGAAGAGACTGAAACTGATGAAGAACATGTTATTATTGTGATGAAGAGAATAGCTAGGTATGTTGTTGATAGGGTAAAAGAGAAGAAGAAGGATAAATATGTATATCCCAAACTCCATATGAAGGATACTATGATTAAGAAGGACAAAACTCCAAAAGTAAAGTCAATGACAAAGAGAATAAATGTAGAAAGTAAAGTTGTTGAGAAGAAATCTCTAAAGAGAAAGCTTGTATAATCAAGTGACAATGAGACAGATGCTAAAGAAGATGTCCAGGACATTCCATTCACCATAATGAGAAAGGTTTGATGAAAGAGAATTTATGTGAACGTTCCTACTTCCCTCATGGATAATGTATCATTTCATTCTAAACAAGTGTTCAAAAGTGGACATATGTGTAATACGGTGGAAGAACTGACTTGGGATGTTTTGCGTTTTATTGAAAATGTTACGGTTAGCAAGAGTCGCCACTGACTTTTCTTTTATCCAATAAAGAAAGGCTGAAAAGAATAGGAAAGACCTTTGAGATTATTTTCTTGAGTTCGGGGGGTAGATTATGAAAAGGGAAGGTGTTAGCACCCTTTTCATCCATAGTTATCTATGGGCTCTTAGTTGCTTGCTAGATCACTTGCTTTTGTTTGAAAATATGCTTTGTGGTGGTTTTTGAAAGTATTTTTGAAAATGCGCCTTCGTTTAGGTAAACTTTGTAATGGTTCTCGTTTTGTAAGAACGTATACAAAGTGTTGGCTTTTGAAAATATTTCATGTTTTGAAAGTGTTTGGTGTTTGTTTTGAAAGTGTTTGGTGTGTGTTTGTTTTGAAAGTAAGCAAGCAACTAAGAACGTTTTTACCTACTCAAAAGTCTTTTGTTCATTTCTCTCTTTTCTTTTGATATTGTTATCTTATCATTGATTGGTAAGAATCCTTATCTTTGGATGTAAGGGGACGGGCGTTGGTCATCGTATAGTCATGATAGCAATATTGTGAGATATCTTAGCATTTTTCTTTGAGGGACTAAGATCATTTGTAAGGCAACATTTGTAGCGTCATCGGGGGACTATGATCTTGTATTTCGATTGTTTTTGCTAAGACATCCCACATGCATAACATGACCATTTTTTAGGCAACAAGTGGAGTTAACCTTAGGGGTGCATGTGTGAATAGTGTGTTTGATTTGCATGCATTTAATCTTTGATTAGGGTTATCTACTTGTTGATTTTTATCTTCCCATACAAATCCTAATTACTAGCATTTATATAAAAGCGATAAATTGAGGAAAGTAAATTTACTACGCTATTACATCATTAGGGGGATGGGGTATACAAATTTATAAATGGAGATTGCAAGAAATTAAACCTAATTATCTATTACAACCATATTGAAACTTGAATAATGTACATGAATTGAAAGGAATATAATGTGCAAGGATATAAATGGAAAAGGAAATGGATTTTGTTTGATTTTTGAGGAAAGGGTTTTAACCTAATTATCTAAAAGAAAATAATTAATTAAATTAAGAAAGTTAAACCTAAATTAATTAAGAAAATAAATTAAATTAGAAAACATTTTTAGGGTTTTTAAGAAAAGATTTTAAGTTTAATCAAAGTAATATGTAAATTAATTAATTAAAAAAAACCTAAATTCTAAGTTAATTTTAACCAAAAAAGAAAATAACTAAACCTAAATCTAACTATTAATTAATTAAAAAAAATAAATTAAATTTATTTAAGAAAATATTTTTGTCTTTTTGTTTTTTAAAGGAATAAAATATAAGTGAATATAAATATATTAGATATATAAATAAATAAACTATTTTTGGATTTTTATTAATAAAATAATAATAATAATAATAAGAATAATAAAGAAAAATAAAAAATAAAATAAAAAATAAAAATAAAAATCAGAGGGTGAAAATGGCATTTAGGGTGTATGTTAGAAAAAAAAAATAGTTTTGTTTGAAGCCTGGCCCATTAATATTTTTTTGTTAATCAGCAAAAGAAAAGAAAATAAAAAAAACAATGGGCCTGCTTTAAAACCTACAAGAGGGGGGTTAGGAGCAGTAAAAATGTAAAGGCCCAACACAGGAGGCCCAGAGCGTGCATGCTGTGTAACAAAAAAGAAGAAAATGTTGAAAAAAATGAAAAAGTGGCAGCGCTGGGACATGAACCCACGCCCTTGACATGATACGCGTGCTGCCTTAACACTGGGTGGCTATACATCCGTTAACTTAAACAAAACCATAAATATATAACACAAGTCCAGTCTTAGAAATGACTTCATCTTCAACCTCCAGCCAGGGTCCCTGTAACTCATTCATTTCTCATCCATTCTCAAAACTTCCAACATCAAACTTATTAGAAATTTTACCAAGATTCCAGAAATGTAAACAATT